TGGAGAAAAGGCTTTGGTACACTCATTTTTTGTCGTTTGACTTCGCGAAAGCATCCGAATGTCTCATGCGCACTACGAAACATGATCGGGGCACTCCAAGCTTGGAATAGTTTATTTTGCATGTTATTACAACATTAGAATTCGTTTGTGAAAATGACGGAGAATGCAACCTCCAACTAATATGTGGTGACACTCGATTACAGGGCTGCCAGCAGCGGCAGCAGTGGCTCACCGGGCAGCAGCCCTAATCCTAGGGATGAACAACGCTAAATTCTCTCGAGTACTGGCTCCCTTTACTAGCGCTGCACCTTCTTAGGCGTTGCATGGTTGTCTCCCGACTTTGTTGTCAGTGGGTTCCTGGATATATGGAGTGCGCTGCGACGGGACGTCAGCAATGTTATTCAGTAGTGGCTGAGCTCGCGTATTCCAATAGATAAAGCTTTGGATCGCTACGAGGATGCTATTGAGGCGTTGTGCTTCTATGCTGTAACGGCCCTTGTCCTCTGGAGAAGGGTATTTCCAGTATGTCTTTTCGCGACAGTATCGCTCGAGAACCGCCAGATCGCTCAGACCACCCTATCGGCACAGCCCTAAACTCTTCTGAAGCTTCCCTACCCATACCAGCGATTTCGCACCTGGATCCTGGCAGAAGCTGCCCGAGAGCGCACAGTCCTGTATCAAGCATTCGAATATCGCACCAGGAATGCCCTACGGCAACTGTTGCCCCCGGTGACTGTCCTGCTTCAGACGGCTGGGGCTGGGACCATGGAGAGGCTGCTGGATCCCAAAGACTGCCAGTAGGCAGCAGCGTAGCGCAGCAAGACGCCCGGAGTGACGGCGCAGTTGCTCATAGCGGAGCCCCGAGGCTGCGTTCATCAGTTCCCAGTGCCTCTGGGAGGAGCGTAGAGGGAATTCGTGGTAGATTAAACAGTCGCATAGCGTACCCATCAGCGCCCATCACCTTCACAAAGTCCTTCGGGTCAAAGGTACAGTGGGGAGCCTACACCCGCAGAGCTCACGGGTACTTGAACGCGGAAGCCGTGCACGCTGCAGCTGCAGCTGATGAACGCCTTTCCCGCAGCGAATGCCTGCGCCAAATAGGAGCTATCCAGAGACTTGACACTGCATCCAGTGGCCGAGCGATGGAAGGTGGCAGTTCTGGCGCAAAACGAGAGGCTAGCAGGGGCCGAGAAGTCCAGGAATCGAATTCCGCGGGGGTCCATATGGACCCCTCATCAGGTACCAGCAGGCGCACGCCTGGGGTTGGAATGGCTTCCTTTCGCTTCGCGCCAATGGTAGCTACCCGGCAAACGGCGAAGTCAGCGGCTTCTGGCATCGAAGACACAAGTGGTAGTGTAGATCTGGCAGCAGGCTTGCCTCATGTGCAAAGCACAAGGACCCCTGGTCCTCGAGCATTTCTGGGCTCCTGGATATTCAAAGGATCTGACGCTTCAACGGAGCTCGAACGAATCCTGAAGGTGGAAAGCGATATAGCAGAGACTGCCGATGCCCGCAGCGAATTAGCGGCCACCAGATTACTGCAAGAGGATATGGAGGCGATGATAACAAACTTGCAACAGGTACAGGTACACCAATGGCTACTCCGTACCCTTCATATGTTTTACTGCCTATTTCGTCGAAATAGACGGTAAGCCTGTCAAGTCGAAAACTAGGCGTGAGTGAATGCTTTACCTGCCTCTCGTTTTTAGGTGAAGACATTTCTCGTGGCGAAACTTCGAGAATGCGAAACGGCATTGTTGACGACGGCGCAGGAGAGAGATGACTTGGAGGCAACGCTGCAGCAGATCCAAAGCGGTATTCAAGACAGCGTTGCAGAACACCGCCGCCATGTGGAGGAGTATAAAACGAAGGTCACCGCGAAAGAGGTGACACTATTTTTTCTGCAGATTATGGCATGAGCTTAAGGCGTATTCATGTGCGGCATTTTGTGGCATCATCCTGAGCAAAGCTTCCTTGAATCGGCGTGCGAGCACTGAATTCTCGTCGTGTGTTCTATGCGGCCACAGCGAGAACTGGAGGAGCTGCGGATGCAGCTAGAAAAGGTAACTAAGGAAGCAGCGACTCTCAAGAAGGAAAATGAGGCCCTTAAAGGGGAAGTCAACGTAGCCCGAGTTGAGGCAGCAGTGAGTCCGCAACGCAGCTCTATGGTGTCCCTTTTTATCCGTAGCTGCTTAGCTTCACCTTCTTACGCGGCTAGAGTGATCTGTGGCCGATTAATTTGGCATCAAAATATTTCCCTGTGTTCGTTTTTTGGCTTACGGGTGCTTATTTAGGACGTGGCGGCCGCAGGGGGGTTTCGCATTGAAGAGTATCAAACGGCTCTACAGATTCTTATGGAACGAAACAAAGTTAGCAAAATTGCTCCCTTTTGCTGCGTTTCGCAGTGCAGTTGAGTAGAATAGTGCTTGCGCACAGTAGTCACTCCAAGAAGTAGTAGTTCGCGTTCCGTTCTTCACGTTGTGTCCACGAACCCCTTTTAGTCAATTATGACCGTATAAGCAACGCCAAGAGCTTGTGTTGCAGTGTAGCTTAACGTTGTCAGCTGCATGGTTGCAGGCACAGCACCGCGAGCTGAAGCGGCTCCGGGTGCAGCTTATCAAAACTCGGGAAAATTACGCGAGCGCCCTTGCAAGAGTAGACGAACTGGAGAGCTTAGAGGCCTTCAGGAAAAATTTGGATGAGCACGAGGCAAGCGCTTCCCCACGGAGTGATTCCACCCCGAGAAGTCATGAAAAGGGCCCTCTGGCTAGCAGCGGTGTCCTGCAGGCTGCTCAGAACAGGAATGGCACGCCGTCAGATAAGCCCCTCTCCTCCACAAGCAAACAGAGTCAAGTTGACCCATCGGATGCTGGCTGTAGGACAGGTGCACGCAGCTTTGGCAAAGAATCTGCTCCGTTCTGTGACGGGAGTGACCCCAGGAAAACAGCAGAGAGTCCGCAAAGCTGTGAAGAAGCGACCACTGCTCATGTAGAGGAGGCTGGGACCACCACAAGAAAGAGGCTGGGACGGAGCGTCACGGGCTTGCTGGCATCAGGCGTCTCGCGAGTGCTGCAACACCTGGAGCAGGCTATGTCAACAGATAGAGAGCCCTCTGAGGCGATTTCAGACCACGATTCACAAGAGAGTGTCGATACACCTGAAGGCGACAGTCGGCGGCTACACGAAGAAGCCACTCTGTATTTGCAACGTGCGAACCAAGAAAACGATCTCATAATTCAACTTGAAGACGGAAGGGCTGAGCTCTATGAGGAGGAGGAATCTGAGTCCGACGGAACAGAGGCAAGCACTCTAGGCAGCGTCGCACGAAGTGTATGGCAAGCAGCCCATGAGCTATTCGCGGACCGTGCGCTGCCACCAGCCCGTCTGTCCACCCTGCGCACCGTCGCAGCCTCAAATCCGTCAGCCTGGGAAGTCCTTCGGGAGCGTCACCGCGCGGCTAAGTCGATGCCGTTGTTCAGCAGTATTCCCCCCGCAGCCTACCCCATGATAGCACACGACAAGAGTCAGCGCGAAGGCCTTTCGCCCACAGAACGCGTTGGGCGCACCTCAAGTCTGACTGCTGCACGTTCGCGGCGGAAGGGTACCGGCAGCGCGGCGTCGCCAGCTTTTGTGGGGGCTCTCAACCTCCGCCCCTCGAAAGGGACTGGACGTGGTCATCGAGAGTCGGCGCAAAGAGGCGCTCTCACCGTAGAGTTGCATTCAGAGTTGACTGCGTGCGTATCGGACGCTCGCAGTGACTTGGCAGAGGCCCAAGCACCGTCGTCAGATGTGGACGGTGCTACTCAAGGCGCAGTCACTGCTACTACTGCACACCCCACGGCGGCGACAAACACGAATGTTGAAGCAGCAGCAGTGCTAAACAGTCCAAATGCGCAAGCACGCAGCCGCCTACTCGAGCCAAATCAACATGGAGAGAGTTGTTTTGACCCTGATGCCGCAGGGACGAAGACAAGAGAGGCAACAATGGGAACCTCAGATGTTGCAGCGGAGCCTAATGTTGGTACTACATGAACCAAAAACTGTAGAAACCACCACCCCTAGTCTTTAACGCGCCGGACGGTGACTAACGGTGATGGCGAGCCCCTTAAGACTGGCAAGCCGCATCGTGTTCCACTGTAATGTAGACCCAACATGGTCACCTCACCATGGAGGTGTACTGACAGAACAGCGAGCGAATTGAAATCCAGCCTGTCCTATGCGTACCTAACGTGGCCTGTGTAGCAATGTGTAGCCAAGCTTGCTCGATTCGACAGGATTCCCCCGCTAACTGTGTAACGCTGGCAAAATGTGCCGCACTCCCAACGCACTCTCCGGCCGGCCGCCGGTGATTCCTACCATTCAACCTAGTAGGCTTTGTGACAGAGTAAACGCCTATCGTTGCAGCTGAGGAAGAGTAGTTCGAGTTCAGAGTACGTAAAATGACAAGTACTGACCCAGCAAACCCAGCAAGTATGCGTTGAGAGACTCCGTGGATGAAGAGGCAGAACTGCTCTGTATATAGCCTGGCGAGTGAGCCTCCTCTCCGCACTCCAAAAACAAGTCACATGCGTGTTTTGAGTACAGGGCTGCACGCACTGTGATTCTTTCTTGTTCTACTTCAGTTGCAGTCGGTCGCCTTCTTTCCTTACAAAGCGCCAACTACTGCATGTCCTCTGTTCAGCAAAGGGAATGTCGAAATTTGAGCTTCACGCAAACAATGCAATCATGTGGGAGGGGCTCTTGCGTGCTCTTCTATTGGGGTCTTGCGGCCGGCTCAATTGTCAATCGTGCTCTTCTATTGGGGTTTTGCGGCCGGCTCAACAGTCAATCCCTTCCGCAGGATGGTTTTGGTGAGCTGGGGTTTAGACGGTGGCTGAGCCTTAAAAGCTGCGCCTACAACGCAGCCCGTGGATGCACACAGGTCCGCAGCTCCAAATGCAAGTGCTGCTCCAATGCGTGCATCACAGCTCGGTTCGGCAGCAACAAGCTCTCAAAAAGCTTCAGCTTGACTGATTCAATGGATTTTCGGGAGCCTTCTTCCACTGCATAAATACAAATAAGACCAAACAGCGATCACAATGCGATAAAGTGAGCCTTCGATCATGAGAACAGTGTGGCACAAACACACAGCAATGCCGCGTAGCAGGCAGCATGAAACGTACCTGCTTCGAAAGCAGCTCTAAAAGCTGTGACCGTTTCAGCGTTGGGTTCTCAGCCTTAAGGCGCGGCAGCATCTGCTCTTCGTACGCACGGTAGGCCTAATTGCCGCATAGACGAAAAGGCACACGGAAAAACCGATGTACAAAGAAACACGCACAGAACAAAGTAGCGAAGACCAGGTGCAGCTGCAGCACGACAGAAACAACAAAAAGTCTACGGCAATACGCTCACACGTGCTAAAGATGCAATGTGTTCCAATGAAAAGAGTAAGGTGCAATGTCTCACCGCCTTCATTCGGCGCTCTGGATGTCTGTCCTCACCGCCGGCTTCCGACACGGCAAGCTGGCTAAGAGCATCATCTAAGTTTGAAGCTGCACCATACACCAATCACAAAAAGTTGCCAAACCTGAACTGCAATATCCTGTACACTGCCAAAAGATAGGTGATAAAGCGGCGATGGAACTTAAGATGAAGGCCAGATATCACGTCTATATCCGCGCGCTCAGAGAAAGAAACCGCCCTCACCCGAAACAATATCCTTGCCCTCTAACTGCGCTTGTAGAGATTCCGCCCTCATCACGTGGTTTATATTCGGCTCAAGACGCAGCACTGAACCCTCGTCCTGAAACATATCAACATGAAAACTTCGTACGCATTACTCATTCCCAAGAACATGCAATGCAGAGAACGCTACGTCGTCATTAAATTCTCTTTCCAGAAGTGCATCCGTACACTACAAGCCTACCGACGGTGAAGATGCCTCTTTCTCCATTGCTGCAGCTCTCAGTTGCCGCTGCAATATTTGAGCCCTCGTCAGTTTTGTAGGGGACTGGTTCTAAGAAGGACGTAACAGCACACGCAGCAGCACATGCTGCACCATATGCCATCAGTACACCTTATTCCTCCCGTCTTCCAACTTCTTAAACTCAGCCCTACCTTCTTTGTCGAATTTCCCGCCAACGTCTGCATCTCCTCATCCGCTAGTTTGCGGAGCTCCATCTTTCGCTGCATTTTTTCTTCAGCTTTGGCCTGACTCTCTGCCTGTAAGCCAAAGCAAACAGAATGTGTCACTATTTGCATGATCCCACCCAAATGGCACGCTTCATATCCTAGTATCACGTTGGCTTTCGGTGCGTCGCATCGGCGACCCTCATCGTTTGAATCATGCAAAGCGTTTACCAGTACCCACTTACCTTTCTCTCTAGCTTTCGCGAAACAAGTTTATCATTGTCTTCCCATCTCTTTCGTTCAGCTTCTTGTTCTGCTGCTGCTGCCTTTGCAGCAGCTGCTGCTGCTTTACGTTCCCGCGCCTCTACGGCGCGCTGATTAACACGGACTGGCATTTTATCTGTCGTACAAGTTTCAGTAGATTGACTGATAGGAGCGGGATTTCATGCCCCTCTGAAATCCCTCCAAGTCGACCCAAATTGCTCACCGCAGAGTGCAACACACAATGACCACGCTGCGGTGATGTGCATGCTATGGCAGCTGGTAGATGAAAATAGCTACTCAATCGCTTCCGTTGAAAGTGGGAGAGACGCCGTGCATCAATGCCAGGTGAGTTCCGCGGAGTGCTCATATGTATTCACAGTCCTCATTGAGAAGCCGTAGTGACATCGTATTCTTAATGTTCACGCGAAGCTTCCAGTGGCTAGGCGCCAGCCTTGATTTAGAGCCAGGTTAGGACTGTGTCAGCATGTCTGCCTCTTTTGCTGCAATGCCTGGTTGACGCGTAAGACACCAGTGCTTAGCAATGATGCAAGCAAAACTTCATGAGAGCAGACAACACCTGTCAAATGCTCGAAGCGGCAATGTGGTGGCAACATTAAGGCCGGGCCCCTACAATTCAAAACATTATAAGCTTAGAAAGCATATCGGCAAGTTGCCAGCAAGCGAGGAAGCCGAAAATCGGGGGAAAATGAAGAGGGAAAATTTTGATCCGCACTGAGTTAAAGCATCCAGTCCCATAGCGAGTTCAGGGAGAGCTTTTGCGGCCTGGATGCACTCAAAAGGAGGCAAAACGGATTTAAAACAATACATTTGTGATAAAGCTACTCTCGTGTGGCTAATTTGAGCCTTTGTTTACTCCGTTCAAATTGAAGAAAACCAAGCATAGGGTGGGGACGAATTGGAACGGGGCTGGCAGCCTCCGTACTCTCAACCGGGCAAGTAGTTTATAGTTCGTTTCCCTAATTATAGAGAGATATTTTGTAATAATAATTTGCACTGTCAGTAGGGAGTGAATGGCTATGAGGGACCACGCAATGAGCGAGAACGTAAGATGCTTAGGCATAATGTGGGAGCAGGGTACAGGTAGCCATCAGGTACGCCACCTTCAAACATGACCACTGCGGCCTTTAGTATCTGCTTTAGCCGCGAGGAGTGAAGACCGTTCCCTCGAAACTCACCACCATTACAATTTTGTTCTCCTCAGCAGCTCACAGTCCTGGTTACACTTCGCGGGGAAACGAACTACGCAGCCATTAAATAATCTGCACTGCAGCCCTGCTCAGAAGCATTAAGCAAAGCCATGAGCCCCGCGGCCAACGAAGATGTGAGTACTCGTCAGGGGGCTCGGTACGGAGGAAGAGGCGCTTCCTGCCTCCAAATGCTTCTCCTTTGGTTTGTCTCGTAGGCCCCACAGGGCAGAGAGGAAGTGGCTCTTTAAAGGAAGCAATAGAGAAACTTGGCCAAGAGTGGCGCCTTCTCGCACCATGGAAAACTGCTGCACAGTAGCCCTTTCACAGGAAAAGTATACAAGGCACTGCAGCTTTGCAGCTCAGGGGCACCTTGCATGATGCGCCGACGTCCAAGATCATAGCACCACCTGCTTGACAAAAAGATAAGGCACTCTCGATTTCATCTGCAAGGCGAAATCCGGCAGGCCCGCAGGCTTACACTCTCTTACTTGCTGCAGGCTAATCTAAAAGAAACTGGAGCAGTCTAAAACTTCGAGAACGACGAAAGGCTTACAGGAACACAGGATGACGCAACCTGTCGCCCAAATGTATTGCTACGGTAGAGGACCCTTGTCTAGGGTTCTCCCACTACGGGGACAAGCCAATGCACTGGATGCGTTAAAAACGGCTTCGACTATAGTTCCGTTGAGCTCTTCTTCGTTTACTTGACCCCACAACTAGTAAAGTGCTACGTGGCAGCATGCTTTTGACGCAGGTCACTCCTGCTACAGTCCTCTCGGGCGATTGGCTGTTGGCATTTTGGAAAGGTACGGCCTCATACAATGAATAGGCGCCCGCCGCACTCTAGCGCCTACCTTGCTAAATGTCAGCAGCTAAGCAGCGCGCCTCATTGAATCTGACATTGTCTAAGCTCACGGCTTCCTTACGAATTTGTTCGCCGGAGAAAACACAAAAACGGGATTTTTGTTACGTCAGCTTGTGTGTGTTCCGGGGCATAATGCCGTGTAGGGTATGCGCCAACGACCGGCGATAATAGAATTAGCGTTATAGCCATCAACACTCTCGACACAGAGGTGCAAAGACACTATTCTCCGCACATTTTAGGCACGTGAGAAAACGTGCGCTTCATCGTGACGACAGTTTAAACGAGCTAAGCGCGGATTGGCAAAGGCGTTACGTGTACCCCCACTGACAGCGCCTTGGCAGCGTCACTACGCGATCTATGTGCATCTTTGGGGAATGATTCCTTATTCTGAACCACCAGAAAGGTGCACAGGCAGCAGAGGTGCTGGTGAGTAGCAATTTTATCAGCTGCCTGCCCACAAATCCGATTGATTCACAAGTGGGGGGACCACACAGTACATTTGCGGCATATTTGCAACAAATAGTTACCTAGAAAACTGGCATTTATCCCTGTAGCCGGTGAAGTAAGCAGAAGTGCCTCAATTAGGGCTAATAGCGCGATAAAAGTGACATAATGCAAGAGAGGCATGCTATGATAGAAGTCGCATCAGCATTGAAGCCCACTGGTAAATGTGTGGAAACCGGCAGGCCGTACTCCCTAGACGCGTGACACAATGTTGAAGAGCTCCTTAGTGCGATAAAGAGGCGATTCTCTAGCGTAGAGGGGCTGACAACAGGCATCATACTCTCATGGCGCACGCACACGAGCTAAGCGCGCTATTACGCATTGAGCATAGTTTCTTCAGTAGTGGTGTAGCTGTGGAGCGTTGGCCGTTCACCTTTAGCAAAGGCAGTTACAGAAACCGTGCCTTAGGGCTGCTCCAGAGACTGAGACGGTTGTATCTTCCCAACATTGCTGCTTGCGCTGTTGGCCATCTGCGCTTATGTTGTGCTGCACTGTAGGAACTAACACTTTTGGAGGTGGAGGCCTGTCATTACAAGACGCACGAAAAGGGACAGACAACTGCGTCACGAGCATTTTCCGTGATATGGTCGTTACGCACGTAAGCTTGCAACTAAAACGTGCAATGAGCTGCAAAATCTGAGCTGCAGTTGACGCTTTTCCGCATAGCCCTTCATGAACTTGCACTGCATTGTGCATGCCCCATGGACTCAGGATGCGGTTTGCATGAGGGGGGAAATCTATTCTGACGGCGTATTTTTGTCTCTACAGAACTAAGGCTTTGGACATGTACGGTTTTGAATGCGCCCGCCGATTAACAGCATCATTTGAATCGCAGCTTGTTGCTTCTCCTCAAATGAGTGTGAAAAAGGCTTTGTATGCAACCGATTCTTGATAAAACGAGAAGCAACGTGCTAAGCAGACAACGTGGTCACCTGACCTGGCTTTGGTCATCACGCCATTGCTAAAAAAAAGAATGATGGGACAAGGCTGAAGCAAGCAGCAAAATATGATCATCTGGAGACACTAGTACATACTATTGAATCGCAAGACGCGACAAACATGAAGTTGCTCAGAGTATGCGGAACTTTGCTCAAAATGAGTCACTCGCGTATGTAAGCGGCAAGTGCCTGGCATGAAATTTGATTGAATGCGCATTTTCTGTTTAGCAGTTGCTCTAAGCAGCATTTTATCCAGCGATAGACGGTTATTGCCGCTATGCTTTGAATTTGGAATGACAAAAATAATTGGTCCAAAGGCTCCTCATCAACGGCGTGCGTTTCACTTGTGTGGCAGCAGGTGCTTCAATGCCTTCAGCATTTACGCATGTACAGCAGTATGACAACTTCAAGCACCCCAGCATGAAACTAAGCCGTATAAGCGTTTCCCCCATGTTCCAGTTTCTGCTGCACGGGGCCAACACTGGTTGACTTTCAGTGCATCTGCCCCTGTTTTCTTGAACTCGGGCCAGCTTGAAGCCAGGGGGTTCATTATCACTGCACCTAGCCTATCATGCGGTACATTTCATCGCCTGTTCATTTTGTTTGAGTGACTGAAACTCATTGGCTGAAACGCCGCCTTACAAAGTCGAATGTGGCTTCACGAGATACCTCTCACCAAAAAGGATCCTAGGCATTTGCACTGCACTTGTAACAGTTGTGGTTTCTATCGTTTCTCCGTTATTGATTTAAATTTGTCAAGACAGATTAGTCGATGCGTTTCATTCGAGGCCTATTGTTTCCCGCCCATCATAGGCATGCATGCTCCTAAGCTTCCGACTGTTTCTGGATTCCTCTGTGCACGTGACGGCTTTTTTCAGGTAGAACTAAAACTCCTCTGTACGCTACTATTAACATGCCATGTTTTTCAAAAGCCCAAGGTAAAAGCCGCAGTTGTCCGCTGAGCATCACATACCGAACAACCGCAACACTGCCTTTTGAGATGGGACCGTACATTGCCCAGTCATCGTTTAAGTTCATTAAACGATTGCGTAATGACACCAGAAGAAAATCTGTGTGCTTATCCATGAAAGACGTATGACGCTTGAAGACCTATGTCTTGTATTCGCCGGCTTAGGAAAAACGGTTCAGGGTTGACTGCAAACAATTACGGCGTGATGTCGAGGGTTAGTTGAGCAGTTTGGTTAGTTGAGCAGTTTGGGTCTCAGGCTTTACCAATCATGTACAAAGACTCAGAATGTTACACTGTAAACAAATAATGCCAAAAAAAGTGGAAACTGTTGCATCTGAGGCTCGGGCGCAGTGACCACTCACAGAACGCAGGAGCCACAGAAAGCCACCATTGAGCTATCTACTTGACATTGCAAGAAACTCACTCGAATTATGCGACCTTGAATGTTTTTCAAGGCGAGCCTTACAAGGGAGATATTTGCTGCGATTCTTGCTTGAAGTCTTGAGCAGCGCTCCCAGCGCAGCATTTTTCCGAGTGACGCAGGAGGCAGGTTTCCCAGAGCCGTCTCCAATCAAAGACAGCGTGAGCAGCAAAAGCCTCTGGTCTCATGTGGGTATGCTTGCGAGTTGACACCTTGTGGAGTAATTCAGCACAGCATGTGGAACAGCTGCTGTTGACAGCACGCAGCGCTGAAAAGAAACAGAATAAACACTTGCAAGCTTACTATCCCTTTTGGTGTCCCTTAGCATTCCTTTTGCCCTCCTTCATATTTGCCCTTTTCAATTTGGCTCACTTATCGGATTCGTCACGTTTTTTTAACCTTTCCTGCTTTTCGCCTCAATCAGTGTAGTGAATGTGGAAAATACGACGTGTGCAAAAGCGCTAGACTGATACTAGTTGAAGACAGTCAGTCGGTTCGTTTGTCCATTTTTACCTTAACGAACTCTGGTTGACAGGACCATCACTGAGCAATACAAGGCCTTTGTCAACTTTGAAAACTACTACATTTATCTCGTTACTTCTGCTGTTACATCCAGCAGGAAGTCAGTGCCATACAGATTGCTTTTGGTGACTGCAGAATAACCCAGTTTTGCTCCAAAGGACTTTGCAGTGAAGAAGTAAAAAGCTTGTCACTGTATGCTAAAGCAGCCATTATTGCTCCGGAAGCACCGAATTTTACATTCTTCCCAGGGAATGCAGAAAGGGTGTCCTAAGCTGCCAAGGACGCTGCCAAGGCCCGTGCAACGTTTCAACGTTTCTTTTCATTCTGAAATGTACAGATGCATAATCGTGTGCCCTTCTAGATGTCAAGGAACTTGGGCGTTTCGTGGAGTTGAAAGCTGAAAATAGTATTGAGTGAGTAATCGCAAACCTGCTCCTCGTTTGCATCCGTGGATGCTGATAATTTAGGCACATATTGGCATCACACTGATTGCGCAATACTACCAAAATAGCATGGTTGAAAGAAGGAATAACAAAAAGGCTCTTCTTTGTAATGTGTTAGTATGAATTCAAACATGCGCCTGTGTTTGCAAGCCTAGGAGAATTATTTAGTTTTTGATTCGATTAAGACCGGGAATGCCCCGAAAAAGCGACGAGCTAGGCAAAACGATAGCAAATGGAGTCCTAGCTCAAGAGAAGTTGCTACTCTCTGCGTTTCATAGCGCATCGAATGGCTACATGATTCTTCGTATAAAGCCCACCGAAAATTGAAAAATGATGCTCCCCGACAGTGCCGCATTGACTCATCACCCAAAACCTCGTCAATATTTTTTACCATTATGAAAAACCTTGAGAGAGATTCGGGTGGCGACCTTGTTCTAGCTTTAAAAGGCGCGGAGCTTCGCTGAGGCGCAGCAAGCTCCCTCAGTCTCCAATGTGCTCACGTATCTTGTACTGTTGTTGTCAGTAACCGGTGCATCACACTAGACCAGCGGCAAGAATAAGCATGCGTGCATAAAGCTATTGATCTTTCTTCGTATGATACAGGATAGCAGCACTACTGTTAAAGCAGCGCTACTGTTAAAGCAGTAGCAGCTACTCAATTATTGCTGTGAGTGGAGCAAGCAGGTCTAGAGCATTCGTAAAAAGCGACTGCATTTGCTGGCAAAACAGAAATGCCCTATAGTGCTAGACCACCAATGTACAGTTAGGTCACAGCGCTGTTGCTTCAAGTTCAGTAGCCGTTGTCCCTGTACGATGCCCCAACAAACTGGCCAACTAATGCTTACTTTCAAGCGTTGGAACAGCAGCTTTCTGCAACAGATTTCTCAACAAACTACCAGCTACCTGCAGGTGAAACGTGAGCGAACTGTTGAAATACCTGCTTGCTTGCCATCGTTTCACGGTAAGGATACCGTGAAACGATTGCACGAAAACCGATAATTCGGCACTCACAGAGAGACAACATTTCAGTGAGCTTCCAGGTGGTTGCTGCCAGCCGGAATTGTAAAAAGGAGGGAGCAGTCAACACTTTCTCGCGTACGCAGAGAGTCAAGAAGAGACCTCAACTACAAAGTTGTTCCTACAAGAGGGAAAATGATAAGTTGGACGAATAGCGTCTTGTTAGGCGAATCGCCGCACTCGAAGCCTTTGGCGTCTCTTTGTTTCTTCGAGGCAACATCCAAAAGCCAAATGCCATTTGAGGCAGGTAAAAGAGATTACACCTCTTGATGATTGAACAAAACTATGAATATACTAGGTTTACACAAATTTAAGCGTACGGGACATCTCAAAGGAAACAATCCCAAAAATGCCGACGGCGGATATTCGCTACGCCCGGAAATGCCGACATGCTCCAAGAGTTACGCAGCCATAAGTGTTCAAGGAAATAACATAAGCCGCGCCTGTTCACCCTCCTCTAGAGTGTGTTACATCAGCTATGGGCAGCTGTAGTCAACATTACGGAATCAGACACGCGCTCTGTTAAAAAAAACACGCGGCAATAGAGTCAGCTTCAATACAAGAGCTATTCCGCAGCTTCAGAAAATTCACCCAGATCAGGAATACAACTTTTAGAAGCATATCAAACTACAACATTCACATAGGTTAAAAGAAACCGAACCAGGAAAATGATGTGGCACCACTCCCTACCCCTGCATCTTTCTCAGCGACCTGATCCCCGGCTGAAACTACATTAGGAACCACATGTCCGTGCGAGAAGCGTAGCCGCGGAAGACGACGGATCGCCGCTAACTCGCCCTCCCCTGGCTTCAAACCCGCTTCCACCGCCGCCTTCGCGCCAGGCTCCGCTGCCTTCTTTGGCAACACTCCCATCGACTTCTTCGTCAGCTTGCGTCCGGGTCCTGGGCGGAAGCTGCTGCGTTGTCCAGGCCGAAGGCATCGACGCCAGGCACGCTCTTCGCATCGGCACCTTCTGCTGCGTTCGCCGCTGACTCGCCCTCCCCTGGCTTCAAACCCGCTTCCGCCGCCGACTTCGCGCCA